AGCCGCTTGTAGCTTGAGAGCACACCTCGTATCTCTTCCCATCTCCAACCATCGCTGCTTCTTCGTCCTTGTCGAGCTCTAGGGCTGGAGCACTCATGGAATCTTGGGATTCCACCGGGAACACAACACTTTTTCCATCCGGTGATGTTAGCTCCACCGCTCCTGCAGTCAAACCTAGCGCCATCAGTGAATGGATTTGCAAAGAAGAGTGGGGAAGGAACTAGGGGGAGAGAGAACTTGGAGGAGCAAGAACATACCCGTTGACCTCCAGTCCGTCCGTCGAAATCTCACCGGTGGGGAATCCGCAGCGCGCCCGTGTGGAAAAAGAGAGCAGCCGTGGATGCAAGCTTTCTGTCTGTGGAGGAGAGGCCCATATAACATGTGTTGTTTCGAAAGATTTCTCTGTACCAAAACTAGGGAGCAACTAGTCAACAAGCGCTCCTTCAGGAGCCTCGCAACGATCAGCGCCACTTGGCGCGCTCTCAGCCATTCGCCACGTGTCGCGCTCTGGACGCTCCCTTCGGATTTTGTTTTTTTATTTTTCCACACGCGTTTTCGACTTTTTAAACGGTTTTTCCCGGGTTTTTTTTCTGCGTTTTGGTTTTCCCCCGGTCTTTCTTAGCTTTTCGATAAGAAACAATTCGAAAAAAAAACTTTTTTGCGCGAAAAAACGTGTTTTCTTTTTTTCCCTTTCGCAAAAGTCACGGTTTTTCTTCCGTAAGAGGCACGGTTGTGCTTTATCGAGAGTCACGGCCGTGCCTTTTCGGAAACGAAAAAAAATGCATTTTCTGTTTTTTTCTTTTGCGAGAGTCACGGTTTTTCTTCCGCGATAGGCACGGTTGTACTTTTGCGAGAGTCACGACCGTGCCTCTCGGAAAGGGAAAAACAAAACGCGTTTTCTGTATTTTTTCTTTCGTGAGAATCATGGTTTTGCTTCCGCGAGAGGCATGGTTGTGCTTACGCGAAAGTCACGGCCGTGCCTCTCGGAAAGGGAAAAAAATACACGTTTTCTATTTTTTTTCTTTCACGAGAGTCACGGTTTTGCTTCCGCGAGAGGCACGGTTGTGCTTTCGCGAGAATCACGGTCGTGCCTCTCGAAAATGAAAAAAAACGCGTTTTCTGTTTTTTTTCCTTCCACGAGAGTCGCGGTTTTGCTTCCACGAGAGGCAAGGTTGTGATTTCGCGAGAGGCACGGGCGTGCCTCTTTCGAAAAGGGAAAAAACCGTGCTCCCGGTTCGGTTTTTTCGCCCGGTTTTTTTCGTCCGGTTTTTTCGTGAAAAAAAAAGTTCTTCAAAACCTATCAAAATGGGATCTAGTTTTGAAGATCTCGACGCGAGGAATCCAATGATGAAAACGGTTCAAGATTTGGATGCACGGTTTAAGAGATAAAACGTTTTGAATAAACGGATCTACGAAAAAAGGGAAAACTCCCAGGTTGCGACAAGTGGCGCGCTGCATGTACGCCACTTGTCGCGACCTGGGAAAGTGAAGTGTTCTTTGCAACGAGTACTCCTTAATTAGTGATTTCGCCAAAACTACTGTCCAGGCCACCGAGTCACGCCGCGGGCCGGGGTACAGGAACGGGTGATGGGCCGAACACAATACGCCTATTGAAGGAAGTCTAGCTGTATCACGGACCGTAATTCACCCACTAGGCCTGCCACCCCACAGCAGTGAAAAGACGGATCCCCAATCCCAAAGCCCATTCGAATGGACGAGATTGCAGCCTGCCTGTAGCCCGGCCATCAAAAGCCCTTACTCGCATAGATATAGATATATATATTAGTAGTACTGCCTGTAGCAAGACAAGCAGGAGAATTCTGATAGACCCGGAGTCCCTTAGTGCACGAGTACTGAAGGCCAAATATCACCCGACAACGGATTTCTTGGACTCGGAGTTGGGTTCTGCTCCTTCCCAGATCTGGCGCGCGATCTTGGAGGGACGAGACGTGATGACCCAGGGGCTAATAAGACGGATTGGCCACGGTCAAACAACGTAGATCTGGAACCAGAATTGGTTACCACGTCCGTCTAATATGAGACCCATGGTGAGCAGGATAGTGGATCCACCGCAATGGGTCACTGAACTAATCATGCCAGACGCACAATGGGACAGCACATTGATCTAGGAAATCTTCCTTCCAACAGATGCTCAGACAATTATGTCGATACCTTTGTGCACGAGACATGTCGATGACTTCTGGTCTTGGATTCATGAAAAGAATGGAGTGTTTTCCGTCCGATCTGCTTACCGCATGTTGGTTAACACCAAGATGAGGAGAGAAGCATGGATTGAGGGCCGAGCAAATTCTTCTGATTTGGACAGAGACTCCAAGGCGTGGGAGAAATTGTGGAAAGTCAATGTTCCTCCTAAGGTGAAGATTTTCTTATGGAGGCTAGCGCAGCAATCTATCCCCACAGCAGACCTGCTATATCACTGAAACATGACCACAAGCACACGGTGTGACTTGTGCGGGGCAGAAGATTCATGGCAGCACTCCTTTCTTCACTGCACAGTCGCCCGGTGTGTGTGGGCGCTACAAGATCCTGAGTTGGTTGAGGCCCTGAACAACACCCAAGAGCCGGATGCGAGACGATGGTTGTTTGTCCTGCAGGAAATGCTTTCACCTGCAGAATTTACCCAGGTTGCAGTTACATTGTGGGCGTTGTGGCACTCACGTCGTCAGGCGCTGCATGAAAACATCTTTCAGAGCCCTTTGTCTACGCATCTTTTTATCACCAAGTATATCAGAGAGATCGAGGATTGCACGCCCAAGGCGATGCAAGGGATAGTGCACCCAACCCCGGTGCAAACGCAGGCTAGATGGATACCGCCACCGCCGGGAGTGGCAAAGATCAGAGTGGACGGGGCAACAATGAGAAACTCCCTGGAGGGTTCTTTCAGTGCTATATGCAGAGATGAAACAGGGTTATTCTTAGGAGCCTCGGTGATCAAGACACCAGGAGTGACTGATCTTGCGACTGGAAGCTCTGGTGTGTACCGCCCTTGCAATGGACTTGCAGATCTCCAGGGTTGTGATTGCTTCAGACTGCCAGGGAGTGATCCAGGATATCAAAGATGCTACAGGAGGGCACTACGCTGCTGTAATCAAGGAGATCACTGAAACAGTGAGAGATTTTGAGCAATGCACCTTCATCTTCGAGGGTAGATCGACCAATATCGAGGCACATAGCCTTGCTAAACACGCTTTCGGACTAGATTATGGGCGTCATTTGTGGCTTATAATCCATTGTATTCCTATGAACTTTTATGATTAATAAAGTGTGTTCAGACTAAAAAAAAGATATATATTAGTAGTGCAAGAAACTTTTTCCAAAGAAAAGGGGCACACCTGACCGGATGCAAGGATATATAGGAGTGAGGTTGGAGCGCCTACTTGGCCGCAAACGAGAGGAGAGCAGGGGCAGGAAACCATGGCTGCCGACATGAACCAATGCCCCTGCGCCGCCGCTCCCAGTCCTTTTCCAGACACAAATAGTAACTTAGAGAAGCTGCTACCATTTCGGATCGGAGCTCTGGTCGTCGTAGCCGTGGTCATGCTGTTCGTCCTGCACGTCCTCGGCTCCTTACGCCGGAGGTCGAGCAACAAGGCCCTCCACGGCGTCGTGGTGGGGGCCTACTCCCTCTCCTACGCGCTGGTCAGCTACACCCTCGGCCTGATGCAGTCTTCCACGTACTACGTCGACGAGTTCCCCATATGGGCGGTGTGCCTGCTCATGCTCGTCGGCAACGCCGACTGCCTGACGGCCAGCAGCCTCAACGACATCGAGAGTTGGAAGAGCTACATCGTGAAGCACCTCATCCACGGAATGTGGGGGGTGTGGATCGTTGTGTACTTCGGCTTGCTGCCGGGGGCGTCGGACTTCCCGGTGACCATGAAGGTGGCGCTCTGGTTCATGCTGTTCATCATCCTGCTCAAGTCGTACGCGCGGATCGCATCCATGAGGATGGCGCGCAAATCTTACATGCTCTGCAAGAACATGAAGCGGATCGCAGACTACATGCAGGAGGATGTGCTACGGGCATGCGATGAGAGGCCCGACCCGGTGACCATGCAAGGCTACCGGTACGTGGTCTCCGGCGAGCGCAAGCAGAAATTCCTCGTGAAGCGACCCGAGTACGTGTTATCTTACGACAGGCAGTGCGTGAAGATGACCACCGTGGAGCAGATCTGGTCGTGCACGGGCAGCCTCCTGAGTTCTGACGGCGGCGGGTTGCTCAAGGACATGTGCCTCTCCATGGCCTTGTCCAAGATGCTCAACCGAAGGTTCGCTGGTTTCGAGCTAGTCGAGGCGGAGCTCGAGAAGACCCACGATTTTGTGTTCCGCGGGCTGCTCGCCGGCGACAAGCAGAAGCAGTGCGAGCGGGTGTTCAGGGTCGTGGAAGAAGAGCTTGCTTTCGTCCATGACTTGTACTACACAAGGTACCCTTATCTCTACCACAAGGGTCGCTACTTCGCCTTCTACTTGCCCTTCGCCATGATTGGCCTCTGCCTCTGGGTCATTCACCTGCTCTTCGAGAAGAACAAGTTCCCGTTGTTGACCACTACCACAATGGTTTTAATGGTGGTGGTGGCATTCTTGGAGCTATTCCAGCTGTACCTGTACGCGGCATCAGGGTGGTGCAAGGTGGCGTTGATAAGGAGCTACGCCGCCATGCCTGCGTCTGCGTTGCAAAGGAACGGCTTCTGTCAGATGCTTATTGGTCTTCTATTGAGGTTGAAGGCGCTTCGCCCGTGGGAGGACAAGCTCGGCCAGTACTCTCTCATCGACGCGTTCGACCGAACGCGTCGTGCTAGCAAGTGCCTGCACTGCATGACATGCTGCCTAGTCGACAAGCCTAAGAAGGGTCGCCACAGAGCCAAGCCTGTCAAGGTGTCGAGGCAGCTGAAGCAAGCAGTCGTCGATTCTCTCATCGATAGCGAGGGCCGCCTCACCAATGGGGTCAGATCCCTGAGAAACAATGGCGTCGAGCAACTATTGGAGAGGGCTAGCAACAGAACGACGACGACCCACACCGTTCTGGTGTGGCACATTGCTACAACCCTCTGCAAGCACAGCCTCGATGAGCAAGCAACAGACGGGCGGCTGCCCGGAAATGATGGAAGCACGATTGACACGGACTCCTCGGTGGCCTCCAGCTTGTCGCTCTACTGCGCGTACCTCATCGCCTTCGAGCCGGATCTCTTGCCCGATCACAGCTCCGTTTCGACATTGATACTCGGGGAATCCATCAGAGAAGCGCGCAAGCTGCTCAAAGGGGCCAAGACCATGAAGCGCAAGTATGAGAAGCTCATGGACATCAGTGATGACCGGTCTGCCGCCGGCGACGTGTCGCTCGTCGTGGAGGGCGCTCGACTTGCGAGAAGGCTGAACGAGGACATCCCAGACCCGGCGCGACGCTGGAGGATCCTCTCCGAGTTCTGGGCGGAGATGATGCTGTACCTAGCGCCCTCCGACAACGCCCGGGCGCATCTGGAGGCTCTGGCGACAGGAGGTGAGTTCATCACGCACCTCTGGGCGCTGCTCACCCACGCCGGCGTGCTGCAGCGAGATCGTGGCGCTGGCGGGCCACAGGCTGCTGTCTAATCCATCCATCGCTTCAATTCATTCAGTGCACGCGCGCGGCATTGTTAATTTAATTATCGTGTTTATTTCCGGCCACGGCCATGCATCTATCTAATCCATCGATCGCTTCAATTCAATCAGTGCACGCGCGCGGCATTGTTTATTTATTTATCGTGTTTATTTCCGTCCATCTATCTACTATCAAATTTCAAACTCCTTTTTTCTTAGGTTTCGATGGAATGAGCATCCCTGGGAGAGGTGTAAGTGGATGAATGTATG